AAGCAGATGGTTAAGATTCAGGTTTTGGAGAGAGAAATTGGTTTGCTTGAGGTGTGTCTGACATTAATTTCTGTTGCTTTATGTATATTGCTATCTCCAAAATGTTCCTTCGGAATCATTTGTCTTTCTTTCTTTCTTTCTCTTTTGCTATCTTCTCCAACTTGTTTGCTTTTTATGTAAGATAAATGACTCAGACTGTTATGTCGTTCGAGGAAGAATGAGCTAAAAATTTTATAAATGCAATCAAACATTGTGAAAGCTCTGTTTTTTATTTACTAATAATCAAATTCCGTGTTCTTTTAATCCTGAAATGAGTAGTTTTTCAACGGTATCAATTTAACTATTTTGGTGAATTCAAAAAAATTCTATTATTTCACATCATAACTTTAGATGGAAATAACTTCTTTCCAAATATGCACATCACATTGCATTTAAAATGATTTCAAAAACTTGCTCGGAAGTTAGAACGTAGAGTCCATATAAATCCCACACAAAAATCTTATACTTTGGATGTGGGACTCTCATGCCTTGCAATGTGATCGTAATAAGTATGTATAAAATGATTAATGTAGCATTTCCTTAATAGCTTTTGGATTGAATTACATGTTAGTCTATGTGATTTCCTATTCTATTAAAAATTAAGAAAAAATGTTTGTTCTTTTAAATGATATAATTTGTATCATTTTACTTTTAAAAAAAGGTAGGATTCACACCTTTAATTTTTTATATTCACTCTCTCTCCCATATGATTTATTTTTTTTCTCACTTAAAATGACACAACTTTATATCCTTTAAAATGATACACATTTTTTCCAAAAAATAATTAAATAATATGAAGTTTTTAAACATAACTTGTGCAGTTCAAGTTCAACTTCAAGCGCAACGGGCTCACATGCTCATGTGAGGAGAAATATTAGAGAAATATAATATAAAAATAGACAAATATTATTCTCAACTGATATGAGAAAATAATTTTTCTCTCATGCACTAATAACTTAAAGGAGAGAGGAGAGAGAAAAGATAAAGAATGGGCCTTATCAATAATTTGTGAGTGCATGAAAAAAAAAATTCTCTCATGTCACGTGAAAGTAATATTTTCCATAAAAATATTAATATGTTCTTCAATTAATAACTTAAGTTTTTAGATTGAATTGAAAATTTATACACCGTAACATTGAACTTCATCCCAATCCTAGCAAGAGTCTTAGGCACCGAGGTTTGCACAACTTTAGACAGTTGAGTCTAGCTATCGTATAAAGGTTATTTTTAATTTCATGCGATACGCTAAAGAAACTCATTTATCCATTTTTTTTTTACTCCGATATGAAATTTATAATCCTCATCAGATAACTTTGATTGGTACCTATGCTTTTGGGAACTTAATATAGGTATTTGTGGTTGGTTTACTTCAATGAAGTTTAGTTAAACTGTTTGTCCTGCTCCTCTAGAGAACAGTGCAGGATGAATTTGATCTCCTCTTTTGTTTATAAATAATTTCTTCATGAGAAGTTACTATCCATTGAACAAATGAAGCCAATTTTCCCTGTTTCATGTATATTACTCGTAGGAGGAGTTAAAATCACTTGATGGCATTCACCCTGCTTCTAGATGTTGCGGAGAGTAAGGCTCCTTTATTTGCTGCTGATACAAATCTTATTTGCATTAAAGCATTTTATATGCTAATTTGAAAAGTTAACGTTTTCTTAACAGGGTTGATGCCTTTGTAGGTTCTATTTCAGATCCCTTCACACCCAAGTATGCATCTCCAACCTTTTTTTAAATCTTTAGATTATTAATTTATGTTACAAATCTTAAAAAAATAATAATCACTGTATCTGCTACAGAAGAAAGCAAACAATCTCTGAATCCCATCACTTCAGTAAGCAGATCAGGTACTCATTTTTAGTTTTTTTTAACCTTTTTTATTTTCATACATTTCTTTCACTTGCTTCCATTTCTAAATTCAACATATATAATTCAATAAAGTTAATGATCAACATAAATAGCAGAAATAGTACCTCCTCTATTTTAAAAGCAGAGGGAAACAGTAAAGAGCTTGTTGAATTTTTTGCAAACTATATATTTGGGGGGTTTATGTCTGTAAACTGCACTTATGTCTTCTTGTTATACATCTCGATTATGTCATGCGAAAAAAATTATATGATATGGTTATATGGAGAATCATAATTATACAAAAGTGAATTAATGATAATAAAAGAAGAGAAAAAATATATATTGAAATAAGTAGTTAACAAATCATAATCGTTGATCACTTATGATTGTGATCTTTCTACGTGATCATGTCATGTTTTTTGCCAAAATTAAAGGATCTATTTCCGTTTGTTCCATATGGTCTAAATCTTGGGGTTCAAAAAGGAAAAGATATGCGTGTGTTGAGATATATAAAATCATTAATGTAACTTCACCAATAGCTTAAACTTTTGGGTTGAATTGGTTCGTATCAGAGCCTCGTGTCCCAGGTTCGATTCTCACCGCCTCTCACTTTCTTTCAAGTGAAATTTCTTTCTTCGAACAGATACGTGAGCCTGTGCATCGTCCACTCTTCAAATCCAGTGGGCTCTCGTGTGAGGGGACGTGTTGAGATATATAAATTCAAAATCATTAATGTAGCTTCACCCAATAACTTAAACTTTTGGGCTGAATTGATTCTTTACGGTGTGCTAATGTAGAAAAAGACAAAAACTATAAAGCAATAATCCCCACTTCCTTTTGGTCATTATTTTTGTTTTCTTGGCCTCTCTTCTGATAAGCTATACACTGTTCAAAAGCTTGTGTTCCTGCAGTCCTAACATCAAATTCAAACAGGTTTGTGACATAAATTGTTCCAATAATTTAAGAATCTTAATGCCGTGTGCGTATCTAGTTACAGCCTACTAATTAATGATGAGGACGTTAAGTTATTTTTTTTTCTTTTTCAGTCTTTCTTGGGTTTGCTACTCCAGCTGTTGCCTGCTTCATAAGAAAATGGCAAAAGGTTGTTGTTGTGCTTGCTGTTCATCATCAAACTCCAAATGTTGTGGCAGCAGCTGCTTGAACACTGCATCTAGAAGTGTCTATAATTGTTGCTAAATTCTTGCACACACCCTTTGGTTGATGCCTAAAAGTACTTTTCCTTCAAATGCGATGCGGACCCCATGTTCTAATTTTGTAGAGAACTGTTGTCATACATGATATCAGTAACTGAGAAACTCATAAGCTCAAAATGTTATCATGGAGTAGGAAAGACAGTTATGAGGGAACGATGGCAACATCCATCATCATCTTCCTTCTTGCTCAATAAAATGGTTTTGCGTTACGTTTCATAAAAGAAAGAAGAAATATATGTACAAAAAAAGGAAAGAAAGAAAGAGAGAAAGAAAAAAGAAATATCTTCACTTTGGCGCTATCAAAATAAACTCTAAAATAGGCGAAATAAACTTAATTTGTATGTCCTTTAACATGTTTTACAATATCATCTAAGGAAAACAAAATTGTTTTCTTTCACATTTACATAAAAATAAATAGATCCTATTATAATAAAAAGAAAAAAATTAATAAAATATAATGGACTCATTCACTTTTATGTCAAATTAGCATAAAAAAATTTTCTTCAAGAAAAATAGAAATATTAAACCTATTATTTAAAGATGCATTATCACAATATTTAATAAAATTAATAAAACGATTTATTAATTGATGTCTTCGATTGTAATAATTTCGTTATTATATTCAACTTGATGGCATTGAAGAGAATATTTTCAATACTATCGTCACACAGAGTGTATGGTACGATTTTTGTTCAAAATAAAATTATAAATTTTGAAAAATATATATGTATAATTTTTTTCTCTTTAAAAAATATGTTAGTACAGATACTATATTGGACTTTATTAATCTCATGCAATAGAGATAATTATGTGTGTGACTCACTTATTGTAGAAAATAAAAATAAAAAAATAATACAAAAATCGATGTATGTGTAAGAAAAAATTCTTCTTTCCTACCACATAAGACTATATTTTTATTAGCCGAATGTAAGTCCAACATTAAAAATTTTGGGCATGAAAGATGTTTTTATTTAAGTTTAGCATTTCGATGTTGATATAAAAATGTAAGATTCGTCAAAGCAGGTGGATCGTACGAATTACGAAATTATTTTAGTTTAATAGAGATTCCGAATTACAGTTCTGACTTCTGATCCGGAGCTGTGTTAGATTATTAACTCACTTTTGGAAGTACGTGAAGCTGGACATGGTTCACTCCGTTTTATTTTTGGTAAGCTCACTCCGTTTTATTTTAATCCCACTTGGTTTCCTTCTTTTCCTTCTATAAGATAGTTATTACTATAGGTAGTGTACCTCGAACGTTAAAATTTCATGTTTCTATAAAATCTGCTTTTATATTTTAGTACAGAAATTAATACTTTTCATATTACAAGAGATAATTTTATTTTATATATATATATATATAAAAGTGTGTAAGATTTATATATTTTTTATTCATATGACCTATATAAATTTCATATATTTTTATGTATATATAAGAAATAATTTTATCTTCTATAAAATAAAAAATATTAATGCTACTGATATATTCACATAAAAAAAGGATAACGTTAAAATAATAGCCATCTTTTTTTTTTTTTTTTGATAACAAAATAATAGCCATCTTTTGTCAAGAAGACAAACACAAACCATTTGTCATAACGTGAATATCGAAATCATGATAGTCTAAATCTTTTTCATGCCATACGTGGGTGGGGTCTTATCCTTGCAACTTTTGCAGTAAAATTCAAAGCTGAACCTGTTTGATTGCTAACCCCACGAACCCACCACACCCAAACGTCCTTCTATTATTGGGTGTAGCTGCATTGCTGGGTCCATTAAAATAAATAACCTATACCAGCTATCCAAGTGTCCATACATGAACATGCCTAATTTAATTGGGTAATATATAATAATAATAATATCTAAACTCCCACTTTCCCTCATTTTGAGGCCAAATACTTAATATGCATTTCTCTGCCATCTTCATCATCAGTAACTACATCCACTGATAACACAAACCCACCCAGACCAAAGGCCAAAGACACGCCACATGCACATAACATTACCGTTAAAAACCATTCCGACCGTTGGAACACACAATAATACACAAACACAAACAACAACCTAAGTTATGGCTTTTGCTTCTCCTTCTCCTCTTTCTGTTTTGTTCTTCTTTTGTGTCCTTTTTATCACTGTTTCATCATCATCAGACGGTCCACGAACCTTCATCATCCACGTGGCGAAATCAGAGAAGCCTGTCCTTTTCACCGCGCAACACCACTGGTATTCCTCCATCCTCACCTCCCTCCCTCCTTCCTCTCACGCCGCCGACATCCTCTACACCTACGACACCGCCGTCAACGGCTTCTCCGTCCGTCTCACCACCGCACAGGCCGCCGAGCTCCGCCGCGTCCCCGGAATCCTCTCCGTCGTCCCAGATCAAATCCGCCACCCTCACACCACCCACACCCCTGGTTTCCTCGGCCTCGCCGATAACTTCGGGTTATGGGTGAAATCCGAGTACGCCGACGACGTGATCGTCGGAGTTTTGGATACCGGAATCTGGCCGGAGCTTCAGAGCTTCTCAGACGAGGGTCTCTCCGGCGTACCCTCTTCTTGGAAAGGTAGTTGTGAAAAGGTTCATGACTTTCCTGTTTCTGCGTGTAACAAGAAGATAATCGGAGCCAAATCGTTCTACAAAGGCTATGAATCATATCTCGAGAGACCCATTGACGAGTCTGTGGAATCTAAGTCTCCTAGAGACACTGAAGGCCATGGAACACACACTGCTTCAACTGCTGCAGGATCTGTTGTTGCAAACGCTAGTTTGTTCAACTTTGCTCAAGGTGAAGCAAGAGGAATGGCCTCAAAGGCTAGAATTGCTGCGTACAAGATCTGTTGGAAGCTTGGTTGTTTTGATTCTGATATTCTTGCTGCTATGGATGAAGCTGTTGCTGATGGGGTCCACGTGATTTCACTCTCTGTTGGTGCAAATGGGTATGCACCACAGTATCATCGTGATTCCATTGCTGTTGGAGCATTTGGTGCTTCACAGCATGGTGTTCTTGTGTCTTGTTCTGCTGGGAATTCAGGACCTGGTCCTTACACTGCTGTGAACATAGCACCTTGGATTTTGACTGTTGGTGCTTCGACTATTGATAGAGAGTTTCCTGCAGATGTTGTTCTTGGAGATGGTAGGGTTTTTGGTGGGGTGTCTTTGTATTATGGTGATGATTTGCCGGATTTTAAACTGCCTTTGGTTTATGCTAAGGATTGTGGAAGCAGATACTGCTACGCGGGGTCTCTGGAATCTTCAAAGGTTCAAGGGAAGATTGTTGTTTGTGATAGGGGAGGGAATGCCAGGGTTGAAAAGGGAAGTGCTGTGAAGGTTGCTGGTGGGTTGGGAATGATTTTGGCAAATACAGAAGCTAGTGGGGAAGAGCTTCTTGCAGATGCACATCTTTTGGCTGCAACTATGGTGGGTCAAACTGCTGGAGACAAGATCAAGGAGTATGTGAGGTTGAGTCAATATCCAACAGCAACTATAGAATTCAAAGGGACTGTGATTGGGGATTCACCTTCTGCTCCTAGAGTTGCTTCCTTTTCTAGCCGTGGTCCAAACTATCGCACTTCACAGATTCTTAAGCCAGATGTTATAGCTCCTGGTGTTAACATTTTGGCAGGGTGGACTGGAAGTGTTGGACCTACGGATTTGGAGATTGATCCTAGGAGAGTTGAGTTTAACATAATATCAGGCACCTCTATGTCTTGTCCACATGTTAGTGGGATTGCAGCATTGCTTAGGAAGGCCTATCCTAAATGGTCACCTGCTGCAATAAAATCAGCTTTGATGACAACTGCTTATGATGTGGATAATTCTGGGAGTAGTATTAAGGATCTTGGAACTGGGAAAGAATCAAACCCATTCATTCATGGGGCTGGACATGTTGATCCCAACAGGGCTCTCAATCCTGGGTTGGTTTATGATTTGGATAGTGATGATTACTTGGCATTCCTATGCTCAATTGGGTATGATGCTAGGCGAATTGCGGTTTTCACTAGAGAGCCTACTAGTTTCGACATTTGTGAAAAAGAAGTAGCTAGGAGAAGGAGATTAGCTAGTCCGGGTGATTTGAATTATCCATCTTTCTCTGTGGAATTTGGTGCCAACAATGGCTTGGTTAAGTATAAACGGGTAGTTACTAATGTGGGAAGCTCGGCTGATGCTGTTTACACTGTTAAAGTAAATGCTCCCCCTGGTGTTGATGTCAGTGTCTCCCCCAGCAAGCTTGTGTTCAGTGCTGAAAACAAGACGCAAGCATTTGAGATCACATTCACTAGAGTTGAGTATGCTAGTTCTGAGAGTTTTGGATCAATTGAGTGGACTGATGGAAGTCACCTTGTGAGGAGCCCAATTGCTGTCACATGGAGCAGTGGACTCTCATCGGCCATTTGAATTGCATCCAAGAGTGTTGCTGTGGAAACACATCAAGCACAGTTAGTCTCTTTATAATCTTTCTACTAGCTTATTGTACAAACTACAAAAATAGTTATTCGGTATGATGTTTCAGGCAATTCTACTCTTAACTTCGATGTAGTTGATGAAGGGCTTCTAATAACTTTGTTAGGCCGAAATAAAATATATTACGTGAAATATGATTTGTAAGATTATTGATTCAGATAATTGTGGTTTTGCATATTTATTATGTTGAGATTATCCGGGTTTCATCATGCTAAACAAGATGTATGTGATAGCATGGCACCAATATGACTTCGCTGAAAACCTAAGGACATATGAACTCGTCATGCCTTTTTTTGTGGCTTACTCTCTCATTGATGTCAAAAGGATACTAATATTGATAAGACTTTATGGCGTTAATTTCAGATAGTTTATCAATTGAATCACTTAGATCACAGGACAAGGCCAAATGCACTATATAGATATATATTTTTAACTGGAAAATTCAATGAACTTGTGTGTTCATAACTTTAAAAGTAACCATTCTTTTTTTCCCCTCCTCTCTTCATCCGCAACATACAGAACTTCCAATAACCAAATTTTAGTTCAGGTTTCCGCTGGACAACTAATGGAGATGAGAATTGAGATGTCTCTACATATCTTTGTAATGCTAACTATGCACTGCAGTCCAGGAATAATATATGCTCATATTGTCATATTCTCCTTCAAACAGCATTATTTTCCAACTTCAAACCTATCGCAGAAGAACAAGAATAATTCGTATAGGCTTCTGTGATATTCATCAAAATTCGTATCTATTGAGAGCAGTACTAGTAATTTTCCAAATTAAAGCTATAAGGTAACTTATGGGCTACAATTGAATTTGTACTTTGGTTTGAATTACTATTTCAGCCTATAGTTTATGTTTATTCGGAAAAGATACTTGCATGGGTGGACGCAAGTTTGTTCAGATATAGTACTCGTTTCTTTACATACTAGTACCATGTCACTATGTCAGATATGTCGTGCAAAATCTTTGTGCAATTTGCGCTCCAACATTATAGTCTATTTCAAAACCTATAATAACTTTGGCAAATCACATGCTGCTTCAACAATCACTCCTCCCTATTCCTAACATGGTTATGTAAAGGGACACCCCAGAGGACCCTACTATATTGAAGAATTTGTGTACTGTCATGGAAGAGTGAGAGGGAGATAATGGTGGAGGACTGAGGAGGTTATGTGAAATGAAGATTTCAATAAATAAAATAAAATAAAATATATTGGTAAATATTATTATGAAGTTTAAATTTTGGTAGGAACTTATACTTTACAAGGAAGAGAAGCCTCCTAAAGTTTGTAGATTTTTTCACCCTCTGCTATGTTGTTACTGCTATTTAGTTATCTGGCTTGTTAGATTAGTGTAATGGTTTATTTTGATTTTACTTTTTACAACAGCACACAGTTCCTGCTTCTGGTGTTTATTACTGTTATACATACTTTTGTGCTGAATTAGTAATTTTGTGACTTATAAAAGGCAAAAGTATTTCTGCCTTTGGGGCAGAAATACTTTATTTGCCACGGCACATTTTTACTGCAGAAAAATGGAACCCTTTATAAAATATTTGTGGGGTGCATACGATATGGGCATAGTAGAAAGTTTACACAACCATGTTAGGAATGGGGAGGGGTGATTGTTGAAGCAGCATTAGAGTTTGTGAGTTGCCAAAGTTATAGTGGATTTTGAACTATTGGTTTATGCCTCCTATAGGGCTATAATGTTGGGCAGGAAGATTAGGATTTAGGAGGGAGCTGCTCTGTGACTATGTCTCACTAGGTGGTGGTGAAGGGTGTGAAGTGGAGGGGTTGAGGAAAAACAAGGAGATATGAATTAGTTTGTGGTTGGAAGTGAATCAGGGGATTGTGGAGGTGTAACTGCTGGAAGTGAGTTATTGACATTCAAATATTGAAAATTGCCTGTGTGAGGAGTTTGAAACATAAAAAATTTAATTATACACGTGGTAACACAAAGGATAAAAGTTAAGTTTTGTCTAATTTTAATCATCCAAGTAAGATCTGATGTGGACATATTATTTGGGTTTAGAATTTAGATCCGTTACACATGGGGCTCATTGATTAAGGGAAATTTTTTAGACTCTAACCTCTCATTTACCAAGCAACATGTAATCATCTTTGTTTTTATTTGAACACCGTAGTGTCTTACGGGTACCGCGATATGAGCATATGGAAGACCATCTCTCGCTTATGCATAAAACACAGCATTATAGTACAAGTGATCAAGAAACGGCAATGTTAGTGCATGACACACAAATATAAAAATGAGGGAAGAGTGGACGCAATCAAGCATTCATCACTAAAAATTGATGAATAGATAATCGATGCGATGCAAATTAACAGCAAATGAAAGAGTGTGTGACAATTGTCTCTCAAAATAGAACATATTACCTCTGTTTGTGGATAGAACTCACGGGCAGACACAATCTTCATTAGAACTATAGCACATAATGAATGCATAAGATTTCAAAAACGTTTTGGTAGTGTTTTGGTATAGGAGAGAAACCAGTAAAGTAATCGGTATTTTCTGATTTCTTTCTATATTTATAAACTATGACTGGTCATGATGAAAGGTGTCTATTGGGCAGTGAAGAGTCATGTCTATTCGACGATGAAGAGTCATGTCTGTTCACCCGTGAATAGTTATGTCTGTTCGGCAGTAAAAAGACACATCTATTCACACTTAACTTCTTATTCATAACATTTAAATTCTATAAGAATTCTAACAATCCCCCACATGAATAAGAAGTTCATTCATAGTGACCAAATGCAAATGATGATTAATATAGTGTGCGATAGCTTAATGAGAAAAAATTGCATTAGGATCAATAGTTTTTACGCATTGAACCTTCCCTAGTGTGATCTACCCAGTTTACTAGGTAAATCAGTGGACGCGCTGCCTTGAACTGTCGACCTTTGGGTGTAAATTAAGACAATAGGAAACATGCAATCATTTCTCGAACGAGGTTGGTCCTCATTGTTGTGTCCGTTGTAACCCTGGACACCCTCTGATTCTGCGAGTGCAATAGAGAATATGGCCATAGATATTCTCATAGAAACGGCCCTCACTTCACACTCACATAAGTGATTTCTTGTGATGAATCTAACCTTGCACCTTATGAACACATCAGATTCCGAAATAATTAAAAAGCCTAATTGCTTACCTTTTTCTATATTGCATTACTTCGTCTAGGAATAAGTGTGAGTTTCAAAAAAACTCTAGAATGCTTAAATTGTCAATCATGACTTCATTGTCTCTTTGAACCTAGTTTGTGGAATCTCCACTCAGCAAGGTAGAGTATCCGCGATAATCAACATTTAATGTCCTTTAAATCCATTCCTTTTGACAAATTATACATTAACTCTCTAGTTACACCTTTTGTTAGCGGATCCGCAATATTCTCTTTTGACTTCACATAGTCAATAATGATTATTCCATTAGAGAGAAGTTTCCTTAGGGTATCATGTCTTCGACTTATATGTCAAGACTTACCATTATACATAACATCCCTTGCTTTTCCAAGTGTTGCTTGACTGTCACAATGAATACACACAACTAGCACTGGCTTAGGCCATCTTTGAATATCCTCAAGGAAGTTATGCAGTCACTCGACTTCCTCATCGACTTTATCTAAGGCAATAAACTCAACTTCCATGGTCGACCTTGCATTACAAGTTTGCTTGGATAATTTCCAAGACACTGCATCCCCACCAAGTGTGTATACATAACATCTTTTGGACTTTATGTCACTAGAGCTTGTGATCCAATTTGCATCACAATATCCTTCCAACACTGCAGGATACCTCGAGTAATGCAAAGCATAATCTTGAGTATGCTTCAAGTAACCCAAAACCCTCATCATTGCTTTCCAATAATACTCACTTGAGTTGCTTGTATATCAACTTAGCACGCTTAATATATTAGTATACTCTTTTTGATTCTTAGCTTGACCAACATTCTTATAAAGTCGCAGGGTTATTGTCTATCGGAGTCTTTACTGCCATAATTTCTAAATTCTTAACATTTTTAAGAATCTTGGCAATGTAGTGAGACAACTATAACACCAATCCATCAATTGTTCTATGGATTTTAATTCCCAAAATAACATATGCGACTCCCATGTATTTCATATCAAACTTATTGGCAAGCATCTGTTTGGTAGTCTTAATCATATTCATATTGCTACCCATAATAAGTATGTCGTCAACATAGAGACATATAATGGCAAAACCATTATCAACGTTTTTCACACAAATACACTTGTAACATTCATTAATTTTGAAATTGTTTGATATCATATCACATTATCAAACTTTGTATGCCATTGTTTCGGCGCTTGTTTCAAACCATATAGTGACTTAATCAAACGTCAAACTTTCCATTCTTGACCTAGGATAATAAACCCTTCCTGTTGTTCCAAATAAATTCTTCTTCCAAATTGTCATTCAGGAAAGCTGTCTTCACATCCATTTGATGTATCTCAAGCCCATTCAGAGTTGCTACTTTAATTAACATCCTTATCGATGTAATTCTTATAACAAGTGAATAGGTATCAAAGTAATCTAAGCCTTCTTATTGCTTGTAGCCTCTTTTACCGTAAGTCTAACTTTCTATTTATCAATAGTTTCATCTTCCTTTTGAAGATTCACTTGCTTCCAAATGGCTTATTTCCAGGAGGAAGATCAACCAACTCCCAAGTATGTTTGAAAAATGGAGTCCATTTCACTATTAATTGCTTCTTCCCATAATGGCGCTTGCGGGGAAGCCATGGCCTCTTTAAATGTTTATGGCTTATTTTTCAACAAATACGTTAGAAAATGTGGTCCAAAAGACGTAGTTGTTCTTTGTCTTTTACTACGTCTAGGCTCATCTTCTTTAGGATAGTTGCTAGCCGTAGTTTCCTGAGGTCCCTCATCATTATTGTTGTTATTAATCTCACATGCTACATTATATAGAAATATATCTTCGAAGAACCTAGCATTTCTAGATTAAATCATTGGATTAGCAAGTATATCCGTGACATCTGATTTATGAACAAGAAACCAATAGACACTATTATTGAAAGCATATCTAATGAAAATACAATCCATGGTTTTTGGTCTTATTCTAACTTTTTTAG